ACTCAGGGAACCATGGTTACATAAGTAACCTGAGACGTTCTTTTAGCAACATCATATGACCCCTTTAAACATAAAAAAACTCAAAACAAAAATTTAAACTTAAAAACAAAAAAATAAATGGGAGCAAAAAATAAATATAAAAAAAAAAATAATAATAAACTTGAAAAAAAGCACATAACAAAATTATCAAAACTTACAATTAAAATGAAAACTGACAATATAAAAAATAAGCTTATTCAAAATATTAATATATACTATAATAGTATATAAATAATAGTAAAATAACACTGCAACACTTGTCCTACCCTCTAATGTGACTGAATGGCAGATCATCTCTGTGCTAAAGTGTGGAACCCCAGAAAGTCTGAACTTTGACTTTGTTTTGGCAGCAGATGTCCTTTAGCTTCTTCTCCACTGACTTTTCCTCTGACGCCACCTTCAGGAAATAGACAGAAAGTGTCAGACTGCACTTTACATTCCCAGCTTTCAGCACTATATGTGGCCACAGAGCCTATATGATCAATGCTGGCTGTTAATGGCTCTGAAACGCACCTCCTCATGAAAAGCCACAGCTGTGACTGAACCCAGCTGCTGAATCAAATCACTAACAACATCCTCCGGCTTCCCTTGTCTCACCAACAGTGTGCTGCACAAAGGCATATAAATACATATTAATCATATAACATCAGTATGTAGACAGAAAGTGTGTAATGAAATTCCCACCTGCCCCGTTTCTTCAGTGTGGCCCTCAGGTCTTTCACACTGTCCAGGAGGAAACGTAAACGGAACGGACCAGTCTTAGGAAAGTTGAAGTGATAGGTGCCCTGGTAATGCTGCGGGTCGAAGCAGTAGAGGGGGATTATGTGATCGGCATTCCTTTGAGCCCAATGAAACACCTAGATGAATGAGGTCAAACAAAACCAGTTTGTCATGTTTTTCTAATAGGTCCAACAAAGCTTAACTTGTCAAAGTAAGCACTGCAGTTCATTTGCCCAGTTCATAGAATTAACATTTGTTTACTAACTGAACAGATTAAAGGTTTGCTAGGTGTCATATACCTACATGCATACATAATATCGTATCTAAACACAATCATGCCAATAAAGTACTTTTAAATTGAATAAACATAATTCAAACATTAGATATTATTTAATATTTAATAAATGTCATTTCCATTTTTGTATTAAAGCTCTCCCCTTAATTCATTTGTATTTGTAATAATTTATTATATTTTAATTAGTTTTAAATGTTATTGCCAGAGAGAGAGCGAGAGATATACTATATAAATATATTAAATTATTACAAAAAAACAAATGAATTAAAGACAGCATTAAAAATACGGCTGAATGTAAAATATATATATATATGCACCGAGTTATTATAAACAGTATGGCCTGGTTTCACAGACAGGGCTTAGACTAAACCAGGATTAGACTAGACCAGCATAAATGGCTGCCCACTGCTCCGGGTGTGTGTTCACGGTGTGTGTGTGTTCACTGCTGTGTGTGTGCACTTTGGATGGGATAAATGCAGAGCACTGGAAATAGGTCTTTAAAGAAGTCTCAAGCGGTCGTGTTTATGTTGAGCATGCAGACAGACAGACCAGCGGTGGAAGTGTGTCAGGGCACGTTTAGGTAACGTGCGTGAGAGGTTACCAAACATGCGATCTGAAAGCGCATGTGCGTCGCGTGCCCTTCTTACTAAACTTGCTCTGTCAATGAACTCTTAAAATAATGACGTACATGTATTTAGACTAGCTACAGTTAAACATGAACAGGAATGTTTTACACGATATAACAAATATATCACTTACAACAAATAACGATTATTTCATATGAAAAAGTAAAATAGGTTCAAGCTAAAACAATAGATAGTTCATAGTGTTCATAGACATGGCTGTCAGATTTGGTAAAAATCGTTTTGAGAACTTTCGCTCAATTGCCAAAATGATTCAAAAAAGTTAGATTTGAGAGAAAGAAAAAAAAAGCTCCAGCATCATTTGTTAGCAGATGCAACATGGTTTGATATTTTGTATCTAATGGAATAAAATAACCTACGTATGAAATTCATTCAGTTCATATTAGTTATTCAAAGTGTATTAATGTGTTATTGACCACTGTAAGCTTAATTATGTAGGCTAATTTTAAAATTTTTCTTTTTTTTTTTTACATTTACATTTAGACATTTAGCAGACACTTTTATCCAAAGCGACTTACAAATGAGGACAATGGAAGCAATCAAAATCAACAAAAGAGCAATGATATGAAAATGTAACATTTAAAAATGATGCAAAAGATGAAAATCTGTATATGCATATAAGTTATTATATCATAATGTATTTGCTACTGACAAGTTAATAACATTACAATTTTTCATGTTAAAAACCAAATCCCACAGAATAAACACAGAAGCTGGTTTTAGACAATCGATTTATTTATTCAAATGTACAAAATCACTGATAAACGTTCCAGGCTTTTTCATCAAGGCAGCACAGAATTCTTCATGCTTAGCCCCTCAAAAACCAGCGTGGTCTGTTCACCCTCAGCTGAGATCATCTGAAACCCAGACCTCTCCACAATCAGAACAATAATAATATACTGTGACTAAGGTACTATGAATACAATGAAACATTATGACAGCTCGGTACAGTATGTATTTACAATACAATCCTCTTCCTCTAACCCTCTAAAAGATCTTCAGCAAATGTCTTTGACAGCATCAATGCGAGATACTGAAACCACCTGAAGGACATCAGAAAACACATTCCACCGCTAAATGTTTTTAAAATGACTGACCTCTCAGAATAAGGGCATCACAGAAGGCACTAATTGCAACATTAATTGCTGCTGGTGTATTTTTTCGAGTTCAGAACATAAAAAACAGCAATCATAGAATCAAGTGTTTAAAGTTTAACATTTACATCTGGACAATATAATATGTCATATAAGACAATGTATGTTTAAAGGAATAGTTAATCCAAAAATGTCATCCAAGGTCAACCAAGATGTAGATGAATTTGTTTCCTCATCAGAACAGATTTGGATCAATTTAGCATTACATCAGTGGATCCCCTGCAGTGAATGGGTGCCGTCAGAATGAAAGTCCAAAACGTATTAACTATGGATTTGTTTATTACAAATATTAAACACGGCAGCTTTTCTCTGCACTGTAATCGTGTGAATTACTTCTGGATTATTGTGACGTTTTTATCAGCTGTTTGAACTCTCATTCTGACGGCACCCATTCGCTGCAGAGTGCGCGAGAGTGCATTGTGAGCAAGTGATGTAATGCAAAATTTCTCCAAATCTGTTCATATTAAGAATCAAATTTAAATGGCCTGAGGGTGAGTAAATTCAGCAAATTTTCATTTTTGGGTGAACTATTGCTTTAACTTTTTTGTTACATTGTGTTTATTTTCATAATGATAAGGTAAATGTCTGCACATCAGCAAAGAATAGTTTGAGTCAACAAAAGAAAGAAACTCACCAAATAGGTTACAAATCAAGACACCGAACAGTTCTGAAGTGACCAAATTCATAATTCAAGCATCTCGCTCTTTGGTTGTATTCGACTGAGTGAACAGTACAAGAATGCTAACACACCAGCCGTAGTAGTCTTCTCTCAAATATTGCTTTGACACTTTAGGGTAATTTTTATAATAATACAAAAAGTTTGGTACTGTCATTCCAAACGTGAATTTTAAAAAAATGTATAAAAATATCTCAGCTGATTATCCTATGTGCTCTATGCATGAGTCCAAGAGTGCAATGGGAACTTATGTACAGTGATTATCTGTGGGTAAAGAGTGCTTTAACTAAAATGTTACACAATATAAAAAAAGATGTGTTTATACAGTCTTCATTAGCTAAAAAGACATGGAAAAATGACACATTTCTCTGTCTCATACCACTTTGGTGGTTGCATATGTCTTACTCTGTGTCATTCTTATTTGGTTAGATTCTAACCATCAAACACTGTAATCTTAACCAAAAATTACTCAAATGAGTATTGTACAGTACATATATCATTATAATTGCTCCATGAGGTCTTTTCTAGGTACTTTCAATGACACTCAGGATTGGGCCCAGGGATACAGAGGTACATGAGCCATAATCAAAATCAACTCTCTTTTATGACCAAATGAATTCTGTTAAACAAAAGACCACCTTAATACATTTGTGCCAAACACAGACCGTATGTGATTTGTCCAGAAACCCCTGTAGTATCGCATCAGAGCGCTTGGGCTGGTTTCAAGTGCATCAGGGGATCAGATAAAGCCAACCGGCAGTAATGCATGTAAACTAAGCTATTGTAATCAGCATTGTTTGGGCAGTGACACTTTATGTGCCATTCTGTGCCAGTATAGTAAGTGTTGGCACTTTGACTGCATTGTATCAATCCCTAGCCAAAAGCTCTGTCCCAAATGGCAATGACAAATAGGAGTGTCCATTATAAAGAAAAGGAAAAAATGTTTCAAATGTACTTTATAAAACTGTGGACGTTTTTAGTAATGCATTTTATGGTTTAAAATAAAACCTTTATACCATTTTTTAAAAATGCCTATAAAAATGTAATGTGGTGTAACCATCAAGTAAAAAATAATAACATCCTTACATGTTAAATACACATTGAGTGTACACATCTTTATCATTTTTTATATTTGCCATTAATGTGAACTCATTTTTTGTGCTGTGATTTTTACAAGGTTTTCTTAGAAATACCATAAATGATTAAATCAGAAATATTAAGGTTTTCGGGAGTCACACCACATAACATTTTGAAAGTATTTATTATTTTTAACCATTAATAATTCTATACTATGCCAAACTACTTAAGTTGTTGTTGTTGTTTTCCCAACATTTAATTATTTTAATGAGGCTTAATTATAAGAACAGTTGTACTGAATTCATTTACATTTATTTTTGGATAAATGAATAGATTTGGGATGTCACCAACCCACTCTCAGCTCTCACTGCCCTTTAAAAGTTTATACAGTTTGTCACAAGGAATGTTGGGTAATAGTGTGCCCAATAAGTTTGTCATATTTTCATTTTTTTTTTTTATACATTTAATATGTATTTATAGTGCTATGATTTGTTATAATACCTTGACAGTAAATTACAAAATAATAATTAACACTGCTGACATTTGACATCATTCTCTCTTCTGACTGCTATAAGTAATCTCTCCATTTTATTTTTCCTCTTTTGGAAAGTCATGGAGATGCTATCATGGATTTTTTTCTTTTGCTTTTGGAGCTAATGGGAATGCCAAATTATATTTGCTGTTGAAGTTTACCTAACTTCTGCTCCTGAGAGCCCTGAAAATGTAAAAAGGCTCTATTTAGCAAAAGGGGTGTAGCTCATGAAATGACGTTCGTGAAATGAAGTGCATCATTTGGGACAGGGCTCTGACTCTGATTAACAATACGGGAAGCTCTATCAGCATTTTGCTGTCCATGATATTTGTCGAGCTGCGTTAGGGAGATACACACCCCCTCGTTGTGGTCACGTTTGTTCTTAGTTGGCTGGTTGGTGGGTTTCTCCGGACCCTGGAAGGCAGAGTGGTGATCGTCTGCGCCGGGCAGGTGTGTGGTTTTCCCTGGGGATTCCAGAGAGATCTGTATGATCAGAAGCTGCCCTGGACAAAAGGGTGGCTGAGAAGCCTCTCGGCAGTGGGCCGCCATTTCTCTTCCACAAAGATCTGCCACAGGAAGTCCCTGCATGCGTCGGACACACCCTCGGGCAGGTTTGGCTTAGTCGGCTGGGTTGCGATCTTGAAAATGGCTGCCATTGCTTCATATTCAGCCCACGGGGGCTTCTGGGTTAGCATCTCTACAACCGTGCAGGCAACACTCCTGAGGAGAGAGAGAGAGAGAGACGTAAGGGACAT